ATCAGATGATCGTGGTCACTTAACTGTGTTTCTCCCTCCAGAGTGCCAGGTGCCCCTCCCCCCTCCTGAAGTCGCTGCGGGTCCTCAGATCCACAGCAGCCTCGTGATTCTGTTCTGTTTTTTTACTTAAATAAACATTTTGAACTTTCCCACTGACTGTCTGGCCTTGAATACTGGGTCCATCTGTCCCATTTTATGACACAAGCGTTCCGGTTCACAGCCAGATTCCTGCTCACTAAGTGTGGCACAGGCTGGGTCTCCACTGGTTTTTCATGGATCCTTTCAAGGTGTCAAACACAGAACATCTGATCCTGATGTGAATAAGATTGATCTTATTAAAAATCAGATCATTAGCACCCCTCTATCCGCGATTGGTTTGTCTCTGGAGGGGGGGGCAGCATCTGAGTTGGCCAACTGCCTTAGAGACAGTTTTTACCTGACAGCAATAACAAAACTAAATGCACCCAAAAATAACCATTAATCATCATGGATGGTGTGAGAATTTACCTTTCTTATTAGTTGTTTTGTATCAGTTATAGTTGTTTCCATTTTTGTAAGATTCTGTTTAATTTTTTTATTTTATTTAAAGATTTATTTAAAAGTAAAATCTTCTTCTCCCTAATTTCTTAACCACAAAAAAAGCCAATCAAGATTGTTCTGTTCTAACATGGCTGTATGGTCGCAGGACCAGCGGCATGTCAGCATCCTAAGCTGACAGCAGCAGCTTATAAGGCTGATAGCTCAGGTAGGAGACGCTGATGCAGGAAGGATTCTAGCCAATCAGACGCCTCTAACAAGTGTCTGCAATACTGTCTTCCACTGATATGCCTCTCAACTTTTAGAAGCTTCCTTGTGGATTAAAACCTTCATCTGATCACAAGGTTTGACAAGTGGGAACTGGTGAGTGGTTGTTTTGTTCAGGAGCTAGCATGCTAGCACTAGCCTGCCAGCATATATTTGGCCTCGGTCAGGGTAAACTGACCTGAGTATGTTTACTCACCTGGATTAAGCATTTAAACTGAATTATTTTGAATTGCTAAACACTATCACTGCATGCTAAAATGAAATGATTGAGTACTCACCTGAGTTTAATGCTAATAATATAAACTCATTCCGCTGCAGTGATAAGGAAACATGTACAGGTATGATTATTTTTGATAGACAAAACCAAAGATTATTCAATCAGTCCTGTTTTATACAGGTCAGGTTTTCATTTCAGGATCTCATTCCAGGATTCGTTTCGAGGAATGTCTGTTGGATCAGACTGGTAAACCCATAAAACCACCAAAGGAAACCACTTCCTGTTAACTCCGTCCCAACTAGGAACTGGTTGGACTCCTTGGATAAAGGAAAACACCTTGGATTTCAGTTTGTTCATGTTAATGATAGATCTTCCTCATGCTCAAAGGTT